GAATCCGTAACGAGGTAATTAGAAAGCGAGTGTTCGGTTGTGCGACGGGGGTTTCCACTAGAGTATATTCAACACCAGGAGCTGCGTTGATTAAACCATGTATTGCACATGCCGAATCATCGTTTTCCGAAAAGAGTGCTATTTTCTGTGCCCTATTCAGAGTGGCGGAAGCAGATAGGTGGCCACCCTGACCTGACAGAAGCGTATGAAAGAGACTATGAAAGGCTTGGGTGCTGTCGGTGGTACTCGCCTTCCAATATGTGGACGGCGTAATCCGCACTGCACCTGACTGGAGACGCTGAAAGGCATGGCTGCTAATAGATGTCAGTGGCATTCAATCCATAGTGGCTGAATGATTGTCTGGAGATGTAGGCACCTCGGACTGATTGTAGTCCCTTCCCTGTCCACTTTTTTCTTTCCTTTGCAATAAGGCTCTCAAATAAATCATGAGTGTGTGGCAGTGAAGCATCGGTGTTGAACACTGATGTCATGCTGTTAATGATGACGATGATGATGGTGATAATGTATAGTGAACGTCGTCCATCCACAAGTCTTCAAAGTTCATGATGCCACCAGGTGAAAACGAAGTAGTCATCAGTCGCTATCGTTTGGAAGCATAGGCGCACCATGAATTTTCGGCATTATACCAGAGACCTCAGTGACCAAAGAAAAAACAAAACTCCAGATGAAAAGAGCGGTCACTCATCTTTTCACTTGGCGTCTGATGGCTCTTCGCAGAAATTTCACTCAACAGTTATCAGTTGAATAATCCCATGTGCATGGAGGTCACATAGCCGTAGATGAAAATGCACCTGAAACCGTCTGGCCACTCGAGTTCGGAAAAAAAGCCTGTGACTGAAAAGCTCACAGTTTTAAGATTGTAATGACCTAGGCTGAAGTATTTTGCCAGTATCTCAGTTCTCGTTCTTCTTTCGATTGCCATGACAATTAAATTGTAAAAACGCCACAGCTGAATGAGTTTCATTTCTGCTAAACTCGAAACATTGCAGAGCTAACTATTCAGGACCTGAAACCCTGTGTATCTGTCCTTCGTTCAGTCCGTTCATTAGAAAGACAGTTTGCCTGATAGCTTAATATTTCCCCCTTGAGTCGACGAACGTCAAGAACAAAGGATCTGAAGATAATTACGTACCTGAGTATATTCTAAACTTCCCGGTGGCATCAGCAAAGTAGAAATCAAAACATGACGCAAACTTGTCTGCCCGATAGGTGATGCCAGCAAACCATCGTAGGCATGACAACGAGGCAAGTCGACGGCGATCTGATTGACAGCTTTATCGTCCAATCGCCCGGAAGCCAGCTGCTCCTGAGTAGCATCACCTGCATCCGCACATAGGGCTTTCGAATAACGCTCACGGAAGTCGTGATCTTTATACACTCCAAGCAACGCAGCCCAAGTCTATCCAACAGAACGATGAAGGAAACGCAGAGATAACATAGCGAACAAAAAATTGCGATAAGGATACCTAATTAAGATAAGCGGCACGACTAACAGAAATGATCAATAGTAGGTGGCACACGGTTGTAGGTGATTCAATTAATGCCTTAACCAACGTTAGTCACGAGCCGTGGCCATATGCTTCCGTTCACATAGGAAAACTGGTCTCCGAGTCGTTCATGCGCAACGTGCAAGTGATTTTGACGGGCCGTGGCAAGGAAGAAAACCCTCGATAACCAACGGCAACAGCAGTACTCCGAGCTAGGTCCCTCAAAAGACGGCCTATTCACCTAGAGGGTCTACAACACCAATTCCGTAGGTCACAACCGAGTGCGCAATACTCCTGAAGAGGCCAGACCAAGGATTATCCAAACATCCCCATTCTACGTGGTATTGCCTTCTGATGAGATTACAACGCTGCATCGACTCTGTCGCTTGTTGCGCAACTGTCTAATCTCGAACAGAGCACGCTGGTTTGAAACCATGCGGAGCTGGTGAAGTTACTACCCGGATGAAGGTGAAAAAGCTTCGAAAATGTTAAAAGTCCAAGGTAGTCGGAATGTAGCCTGGTATATGGTATACTAGTTACGTGTCCACTATGCCAGTCGAAAAATCAAACTTCGTCACAAACTGATGTGCCCATGAATTTCGTTTATCTCCAAATCCAAAACATAGTTTTCATAAAGGAAACTACTCACAAGGTTCCTGAAAACTCTTCGACAGCCCACAACCAGTTTCGCCCTTCTTGGGGTTCATCAGGTGGGCGCAGTCCCCGAGTTTCCGTCACTTAATGCTCTACTTGAACATAGTTCTTCGGTGTATTATACTGGTTTTTATGCGTTGATGAAAATCAACACGAAAAAAACCTAAAGTTAAACAAACCTGGCATCGTAGGAAAGGCGGGATGTCTTTTCGTGCTTCCCGACGAAGGCATTTCTCGGTACTCGGAAGTCCATTCAAAAGCCGTTTGAATAGGCACACACGACGGACTTGATATTCAACATCGGTGAGCTTCACGGAATTCGGTTGATCCTCCATCGGGTCTGAAGCAATAGAAAGCGAACACACTTCATCCAATTCCGGTGTCTTTTGATATAAAAGTTGCCCAATACTCTTTAGGGATGACAGGCGGTCAAACGGGAGGTCTGTCAACATAAAATCACAGTGTGGGTGTGCTGACGACGTCGTGTTGGGACAAGCTATCAGTAAGGGGTACAATACCTCCAAGGGGACGTGGCTGATCCTCTCCAGTAAACGCTGGGAAGGTAAAAATATTGGCGTGGGATGATACCTTCAAAAGTAAAGGGAAAAGGAAATGTGATAGGTGAGGTGTTCAAGAACAGTCAAAGTCATCATCGCCACAAATGGGCCATATATCGATTTGAAGATTTCCCCTTAACGAAAAGACACATACTCCCTAACCCTGATCCACAAATAAAACCTACATAAAATTGATTCATCATCATCATCATAGACAGCAAAATCAGTGTTGGCACTGATGCTTCACTGCCGTACAACCACAAGGTTCGTCTACATATA